GGCGAGTCCCCCGCTGCCAGTAACGCTGCCTTGTCTTTGCCCTTGCAGAGCAATATATTCGGCGGTCTGGACGAGAGCCTGCTGGCCCGCGCGGAAGCTCTGGCGGCGGTGGATATCGTGTCCCCGGGCAAGAGCCACCACCACCACCCGCCCCACCACAGCCCCTTCAAGCCGGACGCCACCTACCACACCATGAACACCATCCCCTGCACCTCGGCCGCCTCCTCCTCCTCCGTGCCCATCTCGCACCCGTCCGCCCTGGCCGGCGCGCACCACCACCACCACCATCACCACCACCACCACCAGCCGCACCAGGCGCTGGAAGGGGAGCTCTTAGACCACCTCACTCCCGGGCTGGCGCTCGGGGCCATGACGGGACCGGACGGCTCGGTGGTGTCCACCCCAGCCCACGCTCCCCACATGGCCAGCATGAACCATATGCACCAGGCGGCTCTCAGCATGGCCCATGCCCACGGGCTGCCCTCTCACATGGGCTGCATGAGCGACGTGGACGCGGATCCGCGGGATTTGGAAGCCTTTGCCGAGAGGTTCAAGCAGCGGAGGATCAAGCTGGGGGTGACCCAGGCGGACGTGGGCTCTGCCCTGGCCAACCTGAAGATCCCGGGCGTGGGCTCCCTGAGCCAGAGCACCATCTGCAGGTTCGAGTCCCTCACCTTGTCCCACAACAACATGATCGCCCTCAAGCCCATCCTGCAAGCCTGGCTGGAGGAGGCGGAGAAGTCTCACCGGGAGAAGCTCACCAAGCCCGAGCTCTTCAATGGGGCGGAGAAGAAGAGGAAGCGCACCTCCATCGCTGCTCCCGAGAAGAGGTCCCTGGAAGCCTACTTCGCCATCCAGCCCCGTCCCTCCTCGGAAAAAATCGCGGCCATCGCGGAGAAACTCGACCTCAAGAAGAACGTGGTCCGGGTCTGGTTCTGCAACCAGAGACAGAAACAGAAACGAATGAAATATTCCGCTGGGATTTAAAAGTCTCCGGGGGCTGGCTTTCTTTCTTGTTTTTTGTTTTTTAAATAAAATAAAACAAAAAAACTAAAATCAGCAACAAGACACATTTTAATGATTCGCTATAGTGAGAGAGAGAGGGGCAGAGAAGCACAGAGGCAAAAAGACCTAGGGAGAGAGAGAAAGAGACTGGCAAACAAGAAGTAAATTGTCAAGTTTAGGAAAGTTCCCCCTTGGAGAGACCCCCTGCTTGTTCACAGTGACTCAGTATCACCCAGAGACTGACTTGTTGAAGGCAGATCAGAAATCCTTTTTAAAGGACCGAAGACGTACCAAGTAAGATTTGTTTTTATTCTTAAAGACATCACCTATGTTCAAATTAAAAAAAAAAAAGTACACTTTGCAACTATTTTTCAGAGAATAAATTGACTCCAGACTGAAACTTTAGAGCTGAGGCTTATACCAGTAGAGATTCATCTCAAAAGTATTTTGATTTAAGAAAAAAAAAAAGATGGCAGGTTTTTCTGCATTTACACTGCATATTATAAATATATATATATTTTTACTGTGGTTATTATGCTTTTCCTTCTCTGAAGTTATAATGCTT